ACTCAACTTCCCGAACGCCAGTCAACTTTGCGAATGCCTGCTTCTTTTCACCGACCAGTCAGGCGAGGGCTATACAGTTTGTTCCCACTAACTAAAGGAACAAACGCTACCTATGAGCCAGGGGAAAAGTTTGTGGATTTGTTCAGTTTTTAGAACTTCCTGAAATGGGCAGACCGCTACCTCTGAAACTGTGGAACTGTTTTGGGCATAAGACCTTGTGTGTGGTGGGTCAAATTATGACTTCCATGGAAATCCCGAACCCCTGAACCGATCTGGGTGATTTTTGGATATGTTGGTCCCCCAGATCGGAGCAACCATGTGCTGTGGATGTAATTTTGGGGTGTTGTTAAAATGTATGTTTTCTGTGCCTTTAGTTAATTGAGTTTAGTACAGTTCCTGACTCAAGTATAATAATAATAATAATAATAATAATAATAATTAAAAAAAAAAATTAAACACAAAAAAAAAAATTGTGTAAGTATGCAGTGTCAAAGGGTAAGTGTGTTTGTGCATTAGGATGAACATTCATAATTGTCCTTAAACCATAAACTGCCATACTGATGCAAAGTACATTTGATCATTATAGCAGAAATTTGATTGGGAAGCTTGGGATAATGTATAATTGTTAATGCACATTGGGAGGAAGAGAGATAATGTCAAAATGGTACTTTCATTTGTAATCCCAACATTTTTTTGAAAAAATAAAAAGCAGACAAACCTTTCATATACAATGTTTTGGAATTGTATACAATTGTATTACATTTTTGACAATAGATTGATTGATTTTTTTTAAAGCATGGTGTGAAACGCCAAATATTGAATTAAATTTATAAATTTGAATTAAATTGATTTATTCAATTTAAAGTGTTTTTTTTTTTATGAGAAAATGAAATGCATTGCACTTTAATTTATAAACTTCAGTATTAAAAATATCTAACTAGGCAGTGAAATAGGTCAGCGAGACTGGGATCCAATTATCACTTGCTAATGCTTAAAATACACATTCAAATTGACACCTTCTGTTAACCCAGAATAGGCCAATTGCATTTTGACAACTTATTAAGTGAACACAAATATAGACTAACTTCCGATCAGCTGAATTTATTCTGAGAATAATGAGTCAGTGTCTATCAAATCAAAAGAAATGTTTCCAATTGAATGGTTTATATAAAAACTACAGTTGTGAAGGCAATAAAAATGTATTGTGTTTTTGTATTCTAAGTATATTCTGAGACATTTCATGAAACAGAAAGAATATAAAATATATAAATATGTACACATTTGTGAGTTAATGCATCATTTTCTACAACTCATTAAGGTTAGCTAACACAGTAAAGGAGTTTAAGCATGCGTGGGATAGGCATAAGGCTATCCTAACTATAAGATAAGGCTAGGGACTAATGAAAGTATTTAGAAAATTGGGCAGACTAGATGGGCCGAATGGTTCTTATCTGCCGTCACATTCTATGTTTCTATGTTAGCAAAGATCTACTGAATTATAGGAATGTACATTATCTCATAAAGTAAATTTCTATTTAGAATGGAATAAGAAAATAATGGCAATGCTGTTTTTATCCTGAATATATAAAGATATAGTTTTTATTTTGACATTTTGGAATGGTATAATTGTTATGAGATTATTTGTTTTAAAAAAATAAAATGAAAAAAAATAATATAAATATATATATATATAATATTACAGAATCCAGCACACTCGCTTATTCACTAAACAATGATTTCAAATCTTAGAGATTGTAATAGTTTTATTTAAAAACACCTCACCTAGGCCAAAAATAATGGGGGTTTAATTACATTATATGATCATATATTGCATACGCCTGCCACACGTCAATGTACCCCATTCTTGGCAGGTCCTACTCTAGCAGCCTAATGCTTGCCCTTATGAGATCTACTTACTTGGGAAATAATTCCTTACTGGGACTCTTTGCAAGTCAAGGCTAAACAGGGTCCTGGAATGAGGCACCTGTGACAGGGAGGGGTGCAAAACCATGGAGCTGGCCTGGACTCCCAAATATACAAACAAAACCAAGAGGGTTGCACTCACCTGAACATGCATGTTCAGGTGAGAGCAGCTCTCTTGGTTTCGTTTGTATGTGTATGTGTATGTGTATGTATATGTGTATGTGTATGTATATGTATATATATATATAATCTCAATTTATTTAGGAACCATCTCATATGTTTCCATTTATATTATATATTCTTAGTAGATTAACTTATTGTTTATTGAATTTCAAGGCAAAACTTATGAGGAGCAGGGTATACAGAAAAGAGAAGGGGAGGGAAGGTGATTTCAAATAACATTACAAGAAAACATTTAAAAACAAAAACAAAACTCTTAAGTAATTAACATGTTGGTAAATGGACACTTTAGGCACCCAGACCACTTCAGCTCATTGAAGTCCCAGGTACTTTAATCCTGCAAAGGTAATTATTTCAGTTTTTAATAAACTGCAATAATTACTTTTGAGGATTAACTCCATCTCTAGTGGTTGCCTACCAGACAGCCACTAGAGGGACTTCAGGGTCGTTGGGTGACTTTGTCACTTAAGGGATGAAGGACGTCCTCATGCTATACATGAGGACACCCAGCATCATGTAAAACACCATAGCAGTATACATGCTTTCCTATGGGGGACATAATAATGCGAGCGTGGCCATTAGTGCATCAGGCAGTGGGGGGAGGAGCTGAGGCAATCTCAGATGTCCCACGTGGGATCTGCTGATCCCACTCACCCAACTAGGTGGTTACAGCCCTGAGTGTCCCTGTCACAACTGGTACTAATACTGCCTTTAGTTTGATGTATGTGGCAATACCCAGTGACTATAACATCAGGAAGAAGGAGCATGAGAAGATGGACAAATACCAAGGACCAAACAGAAGAGCTACAAAATAGAAATGATATGTATATTTTTTAAATATTTTTTTTTCTTTTCTTTTAATACTTTGTCAAGAATCCTTTGCAGGAAATGACTGCTTGAAATCTGGAATGCATGGACGTCATGAAATGCTGGGTTTCCTCCTTTGAGATGATTTGCCAATCTTTTACTGTAGCTGTCTTCAGTTGTTTGTTCGTGGTTCTTTCTGCCTTCAGTTTCAGCAAGTGAAAGGCGTGCTTGATCAGGTTGAGATCAGGTGATTTATGTGACCAATGCAGAATATCCCACTTCTTTGCCCTAAAAACCTTTTGGGTTGCTTTCACAGTATGGTTTGAGTCATTATCCATCTGTAAACTAAGTCTTGTCCAATCAACTTTGCTGAAATTGACTGAATCTGACAAGACAATATATCCCTGTATACTTCAAAATTCAGTTGGCTGCTTCTGTGTTCTGTCACATCATCAATAAACACTAGTGACCCAGTACCATTGGAAGCCATGCATGCTCATGCCATCACACTGCCTTCACCATATTTTACAGATGATGTGGTATACTTCGGATCATGAGCCATTCCAAGCCTTCTCCATACTTTTTTCTTCCCATCATTCTAGTACAGGATCTTTAGAAACAATGCTGTTCGAGAACTGGGCTGACTTATTTATATGTTTTTTTTTGGCAAAGTCTAACTTGGCCTTTCTATTCTTGAGTTTTTGCTCTCATTAAGTCTTTTTTAATGGTAGACTTGGATAGTGATATTAATAAACTGCACAAAGCTACATAGTTACATAGTTACATAGCTGAAAAGAGACTTGCGTCCATCAAGTTCAGCCTTCCTCACAAATGTTGTTGCTGTTGATCCAAAAGAAGGCAAAAAACCTGGTCTGAAGCACTTCCAATTTTGCCACAAACTAGGAAAAAATTCTTGACCCCAAAATAGCAGTCAGATGTCTCCTTGGATCAAGCAGCTATTACCCCACTAATTAGAAATTATATCCCTGTATGTTATGTTTTTGTAAGTATTTATCCAATTTCAGTTTAAATATCTGTATGGACTCTGACAAAACCACCTCTTCAGGCAGAGAATTCCATATCCTTATTGTTCTTACTGTAAAAAAACCTTTTCTTTGCCTTAGATGTAATCTCCTTTCTTCCAGCCTAAATGTGTGACCTCGTGTCATATGTATAACCCTGTTTATGAATAGATTTCCAGATAAAGGTTTGTACTGGCCCCAAATATATTTGTATAAAGTTATCATATCCCCTCTCAGGCGCTGTTTTTCCAAACTAAACAGATTTAATTTTTTTAACCTTTCTTCATAACTAAAATGCTCCATTCCTTTTATCAATTTTGTAGCTCGTCTCTGGACCCTCTCCAGTGCCATGATATCCTTCTTTAGAACAGGCGCCCAAAATTGCACAGCATATTCAAGGTGTGGTCTTACCAGCGATTTATAAAGAGGCAGAATTATATTTTCATCCCGAGAATGTATGCCCCTATTTATACATGACAAAATCTTACTGGCCTTAGCAACTGCAGATTGACATTGCATATTGCTGCCTAATTTGTTGTCTATAACAATTCCCAAATCCTTCTCGTGTGTGGTTATCCCTAATTAACTACCATTTAGTGTGTAAGTTGCTTGTGCATTCTTAACCCCGAAGTGCATAACTTTGCATTTCTCTATGTTAAATTTCATCTGCCATTTTAGTGCCCAGTCCCCCAATCTATCCCAATCTCTCTGCAGCAAAGCAATATCCTGCTCACATTTTATTATTTACAAAGTTTTGTGTCATCTGCAAACACTGATACATGGCTTTCAATGCTTATTTCAAGATCATTTATAAATATGTTAAATAGAAGTGGTCCCAAAACAGAACCCTGAGGGACACCACTTACCACTTTTGTCCAGCCTGAAAATTTACCATTAATTACAACTCGTTGTACTCTGTCCTTAAGCCAATGTTCTACCCAAGAACAGGAATATTCATCTAGGCCAATTTCTTTTAGTTTGAAGACTAACCTTTTGTGAGGAACCGTATCAAATGCCTTGGCAAAGTCCAAGTAGATCACATCCACTGCAACACCCTGATCTATACTTCTACTTACTACTTCGTAGAATGCAATTAGGTTAGTTTAACATGACCTATGTTTCATAAAATCATGCTGATTATTGCTAATAACACAGTTCTTCCCAATGAATTCCTTAATATTATCCCTTAATAGCCCTTCAAATATTTTCCCAGTTACAGAAGTTAAGTTTACAGGTCTATAATTTCCAGGCAAGGATTTTGAACCCTTTTTAAATATAGGAACAACATCTGTCTTCCTCCAACCCTCCGGTACAACACCTGAAACAAAAGAATCTTGAAAAATTAAATACAGAGGTTCACTTATTTCTCAACTTAGCTCCTTAAGTACTCGTGGGTGAATGCCGTCAGGCCCCGGAGCTTTATTTACATTAATTTTCTTTAATAGCTGTAGCACCTTGTCTCGAGTTATCCAATCACAAGTTATTTGCAAGTTTTTTGCAGCAAACATTTGCATATCTCTTGCCATAGGATCCTCATTAATATATACTGAAGAAAAATAGTTATTTAAAATTTCTGCTTTTTCCTGGTCTTCATTAGCTAATAAATCCAACTCTGTTTCAAGTGTACCTACACTTTCATTTTTTGTTTTTTTAGAATTGATGTACTTGAAAAAAGTTTTGGGGTTGGTTTTTGCATTCTTTAGCTATCAATTTCGAATTTTCTAGTTTAGCCACTTTAATTGCCTTTTTGCAAGTGTTATTGGCTTCCTTATATCTTAAATAGGATGCATTTGATTTGTCTGATTTAAATGCTTTAAAAGCCCTTTTCTTATTTTTAATCTCTTGTTTTACTTCTCTACTAAGCCACATTGGTTTTAATTTGTTTCTTTTATATTTATTACCCAATGGTACATACTGAGAAATGTACCTTTCTAATATATGTTTGAATAGTTTCCATTTATCCTCAGTGTTTTTATCACTAAGGAGTTTATGCCAGTCGATATGTTGTAGACCTGCCCTAATCTTATTGAAATTGGCTTTTTTTAAATTATATGTTTTAGTATACCCCACCTGCTTTTGCTTTTTTGAGTTTATTTCAAAATTTACCATATTGTGATCACTATTCCCCAAATGCTCCCCTACTTGAATGTTGGTTAAAAGATCAACATTTTTGTTATGACAAGATCCAGACAAGCATCCTTTCTAGTTGGTGCTTATACCAGTTGTGACATGAAGGTGTCATTTAACACATTCAAAAACCTGATTCCCCTTGCTGAAGTACTAGTCCCTCTTTCCCAATTTATGTCTGGATAATTAAAATCTCCAATAATTAACATGTTACCTCGATTTCCAGCTTTCTCAATTTGCTCTAACAGCTGTTCTTCCTCATTAATATTTACATTAGGTGGTTTATAACATATCCCAACCAATAATTGATTTCCCTTTGTTTGCCCCAAGCAGATATCTACCCATAAAGCCTCCACCTTTTCCTCGTCACACTCCACATGCCTAAGATTTGACTTTAACTCACGGTTGACATATAAACATACCCCACCACCCTTCTTGTTTTTCCTATCCTTCCTAAATAACGTGTACCCATTTAAATTAACTGCCCAGTCATGTGTCTCATCCCACCATGTTTCTGTTATGCCTATTATATCATATTGTTTATTGTATGCTATTGCCTCTAGTTCCCCCATTTTGTTATAGAGGCTCCTTGCATTAGTAAGCATACATTTAATATTATCATGAGTCTTTTGTACTTTTTGTGAATTATCAATATTACATACCGCCTCTGTTCTGAGCTTTCCCCTCCCCCCCATCTCCACCCCCTTTGTTCTGAGTTAAAGCCCATCTCCTTTCCATCCTATCTCCATTTTCTAGATTGCTTTGACCCTCCCCCCCTACCACTAGTTTAAAATCTCCTCCAACCTTCTAGCCATCCTATCCCCCAGCACAGCAGACCCTCTTCCGTTTAGGTGCAATCCATCATGACTATACAGGTTGTACCCAACCGCAAAATCGGCCCAGTGCTCTAAAAACCCCAAACCCTCTTTCCTGCACCAAGACTTTAGCCACGCATTGACCTCTCTAATCTCCCACTGCCTTTCTGCTGTAGCGCGCGGCACAGGTAATATTTCTGAAAAAATTACCTTGGAGGTCATTTTCTTAAGCTTACTTCCTAGTTCCCTGAACTCATTCTTTAGGACCTTCCATTTTCCTCTGACTTTGTCATTGGTACCAATATGGACCATGACAGCTGGGTCATCTCCAGCCCCTCCCAATAATCCCTCCACTCTGTCGGCAACATGCCGGACCCGAGCACCCGGGAGACAGCAAACTGTCCGGTTGAGTCGATCAGAGTGGCAGATTACCCTATCTACTCTCTTAATAATAGAGTCCCCTACCACCACAACCTGTCTAGACTTCCTTACCCTCTCAACCCCACCCGTACTATGTGACAAAAACACATACAATAAATTATTCTTATGAATGTTTTAACAATTCAGATGTAGAGCCTGAAACAAAAGAAAAATACAATTCATAATGCACACTGTAAACATATCTGAATATAGTGATAATTAATGGTTACACTCACAGATTGTAGAGCAGTATCAGGCTCTGTATATTGCACCCAAAGGTGCCTAAAAAGGCAAATGATAACCACGTGTGGGTGACTCCAGTGTAGAAATATCCCGTGATGTATCAGGAACACCCGGATCAATGTAACATTATCAGAAGTATCAGAATTTCCCGCATCCATCCAGCCTTGCCACATACACAGTTATCAGCACAGCAACCCGCATCCTCCGATGCCTTTCTTTCAGCCACAAAGGCTGCAGAAATGGAGACGCGAGACCGGGGCCTACCACATGCCATCGCTCCTAGGCCTCGAGGAAATCCTGCGCAGACACCCGGCAGAGCACATCAACACAATTTACTCGCCCGAACTACATGCCATCGCTCCTAGGCCTCGAGGAAATCCTGCGCAGACACCCGGCAGAGCACATCAACACCATTTACTCGCCCGAACTACCCAACACCCTTATTCATATGCTGGTTATGGGACGCCACTCCCAAAATCCACAAGGTATGACTGGAGACAAGGATATATGGACTATGCTACAAAGGCCTGCCCAGTCTAAGCCTGCACCCGCGGTAGCAATGCCGGAGCGTGTCCAGGCACCCACTACAGATAAGCAGAGACCAGATTTATCTGGGCTCCCTCAGACACAAGACAGCCGGACAGGATCCCCAATACAATACAGCACCCCCAAATGCCACAGCCTGAAAGACCACACATCCTGGCACAGCAAGGACCTGACTCACTGGGGCACTCCCGGGCAATACAGCCTGACAGGGCACACACCCCAACACAGCACAGGCCTGACTCACCCAGGTACTCACAAGCACTGTAGCCACCACCAACTGAGTCCCTCGATGACTCTGCTCCAACTACCAAACGCAACATCCACAAACTCCTGGCAGCTGACTCAGCCTTCCTCAAGACTGAACTACGCACAGTCACAGAAAGGGTGAGAGCCACAGAGGAAGAAGTGGTGACAGTCCACGCTCACATAAACACGATGGAATAATCTATCAAACAAATCCAGAAACAACAAACATACCTGTCAATCAAAATGTCAGCCATGGAAGACCGACAACACCACTCACACATAAAAATACGGGGCATCTCCATGGCGGTATCGACTGAAGAGCTGCCACATTATATCAGATGCCTACTCACACAGTGGTAAAATTTTTTTATCATTGATGGGGTGTACCACCTGCCTAAATCTCCCCACCTAAAGACCCCAACAGCCAGAAATGTCATCCTCAGATATGTCACAGTGCAAGACAAGCTACACATAATGGCGGGTTTGAAAGGCAAGACACCATTGATATTCGAGAACTCATCACTAACGTTCTTCCAAGACCTATCGAAAGCCAATCGTATGGACTGCTCACCACACAGCTACGATCAGCAGGCATAGCCTACAGGTGGGGAGCTAACAGGATTCTAGAGGTAACCCATAATGGAACTACCCATGTTCTAACCTCCGTTGAGGAAGCATCTCCCCTCCTAACCACCCTGGGACTGCCTAACCCAACACCTACACCACAAGGGAACCCTCATATGGCGGCATGGGACCCCGGTAGCATCATCCCGTTTGAACCGAGACCCAGGGGATCACAACACCATGTACCCTGAGTGGTGTGGACTGATACCACTAGTTTAGCCAACATAACAGTTGCATACCTTTAATTTTGAGTTCCTAATGTTTATTTAATAATTTATTTAAAAAAAAATTATTTTGTTTTTTTAATGTTATATATGTTCTACCACCACAGGTCAAGGATTCATTAACCATATATCATAGGGAGCCCAGGTTCTTAAAGTCAATTAGAGCCAGCCCATCGCTCACTCAAACACTTGGCGTCCGAAACACCAACACCCCCCGCTGCCCCCTTGGTTAGGGGCAATCTAGATACATCACTCACGACAAAGTGTCACACCACTAAAGCACATAGACACCCTGACCCAGCACAGTACAGCACAGCAGAAAGAACCAGACTAAAAAGCATTGTTTTAACGTAAGCCTGTTACTTTACAACTGTATCAACTCCTTAACACTGACATGGAGTACCAACACCACCAGACCCATAATTTACACGCGCTACCACAGTACACCATGTCTCATCCCAAACCAAAGGGTACACAAAACATCTTGATACCTCTGTATCGATCACTATGTGTTGTTTAACAAGTTACTGTGAACGACATTGTATCTGTACTTTAACCCCTTAAATCCGGAGGACGTACAATTACGCCCTCTAATAGGCGGCTCTAAACGCCGCCGGGCGTAATTGTACGCCCTCCGTTTTTTGTTAACTTACCCGGTCGCCGGCGGTCCCACGCCGGCGATCGCGGTGGGGGGGACTCCCAGGGAGCCCCCCCGCGGCAGATCCTTCTCCTCCGGTGCTCCCCGGCCATGTGAGAGTGGGGTCCTAGTGAGGACCCCACAATCACATGGCCGGGTAGGCTGCCTCCTGCATTGCCAGCAGGGGGGCTGCCTGTAATGACAGGTGGTCCCCCTGCTGGCTGGAAATAAAATTAAAATTACATTTATTGGTGTAAAAAAAAATAATATATACTTAGATCATATATATATATTATATATATATGATCTAAGTATATATATACACATATACATACACACACGTACACCGTCTAGGTGTATTTTACTATATATATATATATATATATATATTAATATCAAATTACACGTAGACTGATACTGATTAAATATATATATAATTATTGTTATATATATATTTATATATAATATAAAAAAAATTAAAATGTAAATACGTTAAAAAATAAAATTAAAAAAATTAAAAATAAATAATTAAAAAATATATAGATGTGTGTTATTTCGTTCTAACTGTTTTGTGAAATTAATATATATATATATATATATATATATATCAAAATACACGTAGAACGAAATAATATATATATCTATATACATAAATATATACGTATATATCACTATATATATATACCTATATATAAATAAAAATATTTTTAAAAAATTATATAGATATATACATATATATACACATACGTATATATATACATATATTAATTCTACATATATATTTATGTAATATTTTTATATAATTAGGTATCTTAATTAATTACAATTAGCAGGACCTGCCTGACAACCCATGCCGAAAGTAAAGGGAATTTAATTTGCTAGCACTATATTTAACCCTATAACTTTCCAAGACACCATAAAACCTGTACATGGGGGGTACTGTTCTACTCGGGAGACTTCGCTGAACACAAATATTAGTGTTTCAAAACAGTAAAATGTATTACAACGATGATATCGCCAGTAAAAGTGAAGTTTTTTGCATTTTTCACGCACAAACAGCACTTACACGGACAATATTATTGCTGCGATACTTTTTACTGTTTTGAAACACAAATATTTGTGTTCAGCGAAGTCTCCCGAGTACAACAGTACCCCTCATGTACAGGTTTTATGGTGTTTTCAAAAGTTACAGCATCAAATATAAGGCTTGCGTTTCATTTTTTTCACATAAAAATTTGCCATTTTGGTTACGTTGCCTTTGAGACCCTATGGTAGCCCAAGAATGAAAATTAAACCTATGATGGCATACCATTTGCAATAGTAGACAACCCAAGGTATTGCAAACAGGGTATGTCCAGTCTTTTTTAGTATCCACTTAGTCACAAACACTGGCCAAAATTGGCGTTTTTTGCATTTTTCACACACAAACAAATACTAACCCTAACTTTGGCCAGTGTTTGTGACCAAATGGCTACTAAAAAAGACTGGACATACCCCATTTGCAATACCTTGGGTTGTCTACTATTGCAAATGGTATGCCATTGTGGGTGTAAATTTCATTCCTGGGCTACTATACATTCTCAAAGGCAACGTAACCAATCTGGCAAATTTCAATTTCAAATGTAACGTGCTATATTTGACCCTGTAACTTCCCAAAACGCCATAAAACCTGTACATAGGGGGTACTGTCTTACACGTGAGACTTTACTGAATATAAATATGTGTATTTTATTGCAGTAAAAGCAAACAGTATTATGACACTGACCGTTAAAATGTCATGTAGAACTAAAAAAATCCCAAAAAAACGTATTTTCTCCCATTTTTTTCATATTAAATTATGTTTCATAGCTAAATATTTGATATTAAATGAAAGCCCTGTTTCCCCTGAATAAAATGATATATAATAAGTGTGGGTGCATTTACTATGAAAGAGGTGTATTACGGTTGGACAGACATGTAGCGCAAATGCCAGGTTTTGTTTACATTTTGTTTTGTTCACAATGTGTACATTTGGCTCCGTCCTTAAGGGGTTAATGTTGAACTTACGTGCACACATGTATGTAAAACTTGAATATGATGCACCAAAAATGAAAAATAAAGAATAAATTAAAAAAAAGTTAAATCAAATCAAGTTAAAGTCCATGCAGAGTTCAGACGCATTTTGACTGTGTTGTAGACTTTTTCAATGAGTCTGTCTGGTCTTGTGTGTTCTCTGTGTTAAATACCCAGCTGGTTAGCTCATCAATTCAGTGTATCCGGATTACCACTGATCATTATAGTGTCTGATGACACTTCCAGTCGACGGGATTCGTTGTTACTTCCGGTCGCCATGTTTGGCGTCATTTCCTTTATTACTCAATATAGTGTCCTCTATAACATGTTTAAATGCCATTTTGGTTGAGGGGAGACTGCCCAAGTGCACAGGCTTGATATTTTTAGTTGAATTATAAGGTTGAAATTATGAAAAAAGCAGTACAATATGCAAACTATATGGACCACCCAATTTACTAATGTAATGTGTATAGCATACATTAATTGGATATACATGTATTTTTGTATTGTAATATATATTACTATACAAAAAAAACCCAAAAAAACATACATACAGTGAACGGCTTTATATAGGACAAAAAAGAGCGGGTATTCACCAAATCAGCTGTTTGCCGTTCATCTGATTGCCTGGTGTGGTCCAGGTGCCCGTGCGCATGCGCAGAAGCTCGAATGCTATCATCATGTCAGCAAATGGAGAAGAAGTCCTAAGAGCTTTTCCGGCCACGTCACGTAACGTCACGTAACCTGATGCTAAGACCTGATTGGTTGCACATAAAGAAAACACCTCCATATTTGTTGATATGCGTCTCCATGGGGACCGGACCACTCCGGCAAAGCAGACAGAACTAGTGAACTAGGAAATAAATAATAGCAGAAACAATAATCATAGTATATGAGGCGAAACTAACCTCGCCACTGGGCACGGGAGAAGCCTGGTTGCTTGCCTGCTGCCTCTGGACTATGGGCCCTGGTGTATGGCCCTTTAAGAACCATCTGGGGACATATTCAGACTTTTTGGGACAATGCCCCATTAAGACGGTGTCCCCAGTGTCCCCAGACTTGTTTGGGACAATGCCCCTCTGAGACGGTGTCCCCAGACTGTTAAAATCCTGTGTGCATGGCTTTTTCCCACTTGGTTCAGTAAATGGAGCTTACTGAACCAAGTATTGCATAGGCGGAGCACACAGAAGTGGAAGCGTGTGGCTAATTTACCTCCCAGGCTGGGAGGTTACTGTAGGTAAATTGCCGACCGCTGGGTTGCCGCCGTTCGTAGAAACGAACACGTGGCGGCGGCCATCTTTATTCAATCGCACATGGTCAGCGGTGTGTGCAGCCAAGTCTATGGAATGGTTTTTGGCTACCCAACTGCACGAACACCGCTGACATGTACCTTCTCCTCCACTTTGACACTGCGGCTGGAGACTAAGTCCCGTTCGGCGATTCGAACGCACATTTGAATGGGACTTTTTTTCTAATTTTTCAGTGTGAAATTGAGCGGGCACTTCCTGGTTTCTAGCACAGGTTTTCTGTGCTAGAGCGTCTCCATAGGAAAGCATTGAAAATGGTTTCAATGCTTTCCTATGGGGAATTGAGCGACGCTGGAGGTCCATATAGCGTGAGGACATCCAGCGATGCTCTAGCACAGAAAACCTGTGCTAGAAACCAGGAAGTGCCCTCTAGTGGCTGTCTAGTTGACACCCACTAGAGAAGGCGTTAACCCTGCAATGTAATTATTGCAGTTTATGAAAACTGCAATATTTACAACTGCAGGGTTAAGGGTAGTGGGAGTTGGCACCCAGACCACTCCAATGGGCTGAAGTGGTCTGGGTGCCTGGAGTGTCCCTTTAACAATTAACACAATCCCACTTCTTCTTACATGGTTTTAATATTTATCTGTAGTCCCTTTATTGATATTGAAACACTATAAGGACTACCCGCATTTGCACTTTATAAATTAAAATTCTACACTTATTAAACTTGGTTTATGCATTAGTCACTTTATTTGTATAAAATTAAAATAAGGATAGCACTCACATGCACTTTACGAACGTATGCACATACTATAAGGTGATTTATGCACTGATAAGCACATAAAGTGATAGCGCAATATATCATTTAAACATACTCCAATTTGAGCTGGCTATAGAGAGTATTACATTTTGTCTTTATGCATGTTATATCTACTTGAATGATATCACTTAGTGTATTATTATGATATGATAGATGTTTTCTATTTGCATAGATGTTTTCTATGTTTTATGATTGCCGCACATAAGCAATAGGTCTCCCCCACCAGGTCGGATCTGAAACCACTGCCGAGGGACATCTGCGGGTGTTTCGGGTAAGTCAACCCTTCAGCAACAGGAGATGGGTGATGGGAGGGAGGGGGTACCTGCAGTGCCAGGAAAACGGTATGTTTTCCTGGCACTGGAGTGTCCCTTTAAGTGAGTACTCTAACGTTTTATCATAAAGAGAATTAATACAAATATAATTATTAATACATAAAAATACAATTTTATACTAAAATCATGAGTAAAGAGGATCTAAATAACGTCTATCAAAGTATCTTTCAAAAATAAACCAAAAATTATCTATAGAGGAGCTAAAACTTTGAGCAGGATTTTAGTGAAAAATCATATTAAAGAAGATCACGTAGTTAATCACTTCCAACAAACACCTGTTTTTTACCCATGCAAAATGTGCGGAGCACGTAAAAAAAACTAAATTTGGGAAGAAAAAAAAAAGAGAAACTGGAGGGGTGAAGATAATCTTAAAGAATTGAGCAAAGTGGAGATGGGTCTTCAAACTTGACACCTTAGATCCTCAGCATTTAATTTGGACTTTGAGTTGATTCATTTTTTATAATATACAGTAGATTTTTATAATATACATTAAAATTCCATATTTTTAACATTCTCCCTTCCGGTTTAGCCAATCTTACTAGTACATATTTTTTTATATTATTTTCTCTTGCACATTTATTTTAATTATATGATTTTTTGTGCAACGTTTTTAGAATATATATATATTTTAATAGAAATATCAATTTGATGTTAATTAGGGGTTTTGTATACTTCTGTATATATATGTATATACAATTAATGTATGCTATACACATTACATTAGCAAATTTGGTGGTCTATATAGTTTGCATATTGTACTGCTTTTTTTCATAATTTTAATAAGTAATCAAACTAGAAATATCAAGCATGTGCACTTGGGCAGTCTGCCCACAATCAAAATGGCATTTAAACATGTTATAGAGGACGCTATAACAAGTAATAAAGGAAATGACGCCAAACATGTCGACCGGAGGTGACGTTGTGCGCCGTAACAATCGCCTGCAACCAGGATACATTGAATTGAGGAGCTAACCAGCTGGGTATTTTACACAGAGAACACACAGGACCAGACAGAGTCAATTGAGAGACTACAACACAGTCAAAAACGCGTCTGAACTCTGCATGGACTATAACTTGATTATATTTAACTTTTTCCTTTGTTCATAGGACTTTTGTTTTTAATAATTTTTTTATATGTCCAAATAAATGTATTCTTTATTGATCCTGGTGTTCCTGATACCTCACGGGATATTTCTACACAGGAGTCACCCACAAGTGGTTATCCTTTGCCTTTTTAGGCTCTACAATACGTGAGTGCAACCATTAACTATCACTAGATTCAGATATGTTTACAGTGTGCACTATTAGTTTTGTTAAAACAAGCCCATTCGTAAGTATAATTTTATGCATGCACTATAAGGGTGTAGTTAACCTTGTGTTTTTGTCACACTGTATGAGCTTTGTGCAGTTTATTATTATCATTAAAGTGTAGGGAAAACACCTATTCAAATCATTGGTGCAATTTAGAGAAAAATATTTTGAAGCGCCACACATCTGTTATTTTTGAGTTTTGTTGAATAGTGATATACCTTCCTCCTGGAGAGTGTTCTTCACTTGGCATTGCACTTTCATTGAGCGCTACTTTGATTGCATGTTGTGGGTTCACAGCAACAGCTTCCAAATATGCAGGGAACTCAGGAGAGGCCTCTGGATGCAGGGAACTCAGGAATGTCAGAAAGCTAGCATAGGTATTTAGGACAAAAGGACCAGATCGACAACATTAACATTGATGAACTGGCAAACAAGAAGGTGTGAGGCTCAACTAAATAGGGAAAAGTTAATTACAAAGTAAGGCCAACTGGTAACAGAGAGAGATCTCAGTCTCTGAGCAGCAGCCTGCAATAGCAGCACAGACAGGTAGTGGCACTGTAAGGTATTGCACCAGACTGAGAGTAAAGCAAATCATGATAGTTTGGTTCCATGTTTCTTGTCTCAGTTTAACTCATCCTACGTTTGGCTCACGATATATGATAATTTGTATAATTTATATAATTTTTATATATAGTTATATATATTTCTACCCTTACTATTGTTTTGGACCAAACCAAGTGTTTGTTTGTTTGAGTATCTGCCCCTGTCCGGATTGTTTGAGATAAGATGCGTGCACGCAGAAGTAAATCACACTGAGACACAAGGTTCAGGTTAATGAAAAACTTCGGAATGTTTACTTAGAGGGGCGGCAGACCCCTTGTAAAGCAGAAAATACATCATATGGAAAACATGAGATAACTCTTTTGGTGCTGCGCAGAAGACGGGCAGTGGCTTGTTCACCACCCCCCTCGCTACAGACTGTGCCTGTAGAGACAGACACTATCCCTACCATATCCCTAAAATACTGTATCCTTGGCGATGAAGTACTGCAACAGGGCATAGGATTTATCAAAATCCTCCTCATGATGAATGAATGTTGGTGTGGCCTGATCTGCTGTTTTCTCTAAGCACTTCTTAATACAGGGAAGAACACAACAAACAATCAGAGCAAGGATGATCAACACTATCAGGACTGCCACACCTATTTGAGCCAGAACTTTCTGCCAACCAGTCATCCACCCAAACCCTCTTTCCCATGGATCAGTGACCCCAGAGTTCCTTTTCAATTCCTAATTTCTCTATTGCCAGGGTTACCTTGCCATTGGGGCCTGTGTTATCAGGAAGGTAGGTGCAAAATGTCATGGTGTCAGGGAGTATTTTACATACACCCCCCCTTTCTCTGCTAGGATCATGTCCAGGGCCATTCTATTCTGGAAAGTCATCTGGGATGTGGCCTGAAGTTACTCAGCTAGCCCCTGAAGTGCATCTCTGGAAAAGTTTACAAACCATTGTTGGTTAAAATATATATAATTAATCCAGTTCAGATTCTTGTTGGTAGAAATGATCGAGAAAATAGACTCAAACCCTGCAGCAACTTCATCTCTTGAAGAAAATAAGAGATAGTGGGTAGGCGCTTCACAAAATTGGAAATATAATAAATAAATAAAATAAAGTGGTTGATACAACAGTGTTTCCCAGACACTAGATAAGAGTAAATGTAAAAAGAAATGTATATCAAAACCACATAAAAAAGAATCAGCCCCAAAACAAGTGAAGTGGTGGAAAACAACCATAAAAAACAACCTGAACGTTGAAGAATGGCAGAGTGTTATCTACAAAATATAAATACAGAACATAACATAGTGTATACTGTATATTACAAATGTATGTAGGTAGAAAGTGGACAACCACTCACATTTACCAGAGCCGTACCAGGCTCTGTATAGCAGGCTCACAGGTGCCAATTCAGGCTAACAGGATTCCGGATAATGAATGGAGAAAATTCCGTAGTAAAAAAGGATATTTATTTATAAAAAATAATAATAAACAAACTCCTGGTTATAAGGGGGTGGAACCCAATAACAGATAATATGTAGAAAAAGGTATCCACTTACCCAAACCAAAGTAACCAATGGAGTAG